TAATGATTTTAGTGTTTTTCTAGGTGTGAGAAGACACAAGAATTCGGGCTCTTAAAATCTTCCCCTGAAAATACCTAACTGTCTCAAGGTCTGTTCTGAGTTTTTCCCAGAGCACAGAGTGAAGCATTCCTGATCTCCACCCTGAACTCCTTTCAGAGTGTGTTGAAGGTCAGAAACTGCAGTGGCTCCTGATTTAATCCTTTCAGAGGCAGAGGGCAAGTACCAAGGTGATTTAATCCTGGTCGAGGCAGATGGCAAGTGTTAAGTTTTAGTTGACATCACCGTAAGGAAGTGATCAAAGGAAACATCACCAATACTGGGGAAACAGACATGTGTTTTCTGCTATCATACACTGATCAGGACAATGAAACACTTTTGTATTATCGTGGACAAAACCAAAATAGCAAGAACAACAAAAACAAACCAAAAAAGCAGACAAACTCAATCTTTTTTTAAGGATATCTTACTGTACACTAACTGGGGGAAATTTTAAAAAATAATCAGCATACAATCTTTAAAAAATAGCAAGGGAGAACAACTTAGAGGAAATCAGAGATTGTTCCAGATTAATGGATATTCAAGGGAGGAGAGAAGTCAATGACGTTTATTATACTGTACCTGATCCCAGACTGGGAAAACCAGATATAAAGGACATGAATATGACACTTTGCATAATTGGTCGAGAAGTACATACTATTGTAGCAACACAAAATGTCTTTTCTGAGATTGGTGTACTGAAGTTATGTAATATTAATTTATGAAATGCATCTCTCTCAAAATATCCTGCATCATAGCCCATTATTAAAAGATAATCCTGAGAATAGGAACAGAAGCAGGATGGCTGTTCTCTGCATCGCCAGTGCTTAGTACACCAGAGGTACAATCTACAATAAATAAGAAAATATGTAACAATTGGAAAGAGGAAGGAAAGCTGTCCTCTTCTGATCACATTTCAGTATTTCCACAACTATCCATCTTCATAAGTCCGATTCTGGATACCCTATTTACACTTTCACCCATCCTAAACACCTCCATTTTTCCTCAGCTCTGTCCTACTCTTCCTTTTTTTTTTTTTTAAAGGAGCATCTCATTCTAGTAGTCCATGAAATCAAGTTACTTAGGTGCTCTACCCATCAACAATGATAGTTGTATAACGACTGCTTTTTGTTTCCTGCCTGAATATATCCCATGTAATAAACTGTGCTTTACCCACAAGATTCATGCTATAAATGTTGAGACACTGAACAAATACGACAGCAGAGTGTGCTGTTCATTTGTATCACTTCAGGTACTTTTTCAAATGCTACTCATCCCTTTTATTTCCTTTCTGATTCAGGACCCAACTATTCATCTATTGGAGACAAAATCTTCAAGATGGCTATGATTGCAATGGTCATTTGCTTGATTTCATTCTGTCCTTAATAGATAACAATTTCCTCTACTCACCCGCTGTGACACCCTTTTTATTTTCCTATTTCCCAGGCATTCTTTCCCAGCTTTTTTTTTCTTTTGCCACAAGTGGCGAAACTCTTTATTATTTTAAGAGATTTCGGTAATGTACAAAATTCACAAATGTCTTTCACAGATATTCTTCACTCCCCATGTAGACACTGTCACTCCAAGATGAGATGGAATCCCAACCCCCCTTTTTTTTTCAGGGTTCAGCTCCTGAATGTGCTAGGTTGCTGCCCCTGGACCACCATACAGACAGCAAGAATCAACTGAGTAATTGGGAATTCTCTCCCAATAAGCAATGTTCTTAGAAGCATTGTATCTCAAGAAATCCAGAAATGACTATCAATCTGTAAAGTATTTCTGCTTTGGGGCTCAAGAGTGTTCACAAATCTCATGTATTTAAGGAAAGATGTTTGCTGAGAAAAATCACTCCCGTCCACCAGCCTGGGTACTGTTCAGTATCTTTCCTTTTTGTTCCTGTATTCCTTCTCTGTAATTTTCTCTCCCCCACAACCCCGAATATACATCGTGAACCAAACAGCCTTCACTCTACAATACTTCACATGCAATATAAGCATGTGACAAGCAGTAACATGATGAAAGTGACCTCCCAGTCCCTGAGCACACCTTGTGACCGAGTGTCAGGTGCTGATGCGTGCTTCTTTTGGTGGCAAAGACGTTGGGCTGGAGGAAGTCTGTAATAAAGTCTCCACCTTTCTCCCAAGAATAGTGGCTCTTTACATTAATTAGCCATTAGAGAAACAAGTATTTCTCTCCCATTTATAAGCATTCCATCCTTTATTAAAATAAATATTGCTAAAGATTATATAAAGGAATATTCAGGGACTTTAAAATGTCAAATGTAAAGTCGGCCTGTTAGTGAATTACATTTTAAAATGCTTTGCTGTTGTCACTTATTCTTCAAATTCTTGAATCTGTCTCCCCGTCTCACCACCCACACCATCATTTTGTATAAGGGTTTTTAAAAAAAAAATCTTTTGGGAAGGCGAGTTAATTAGGGTTTAAAAATTTTTATTTTAATGGAGGTCCTGGACATTGATCCCAGGGTTTCTGGTCAATAGTGGGTTCTTGTTGTTGTTTTGGTCAATAGTGTTTTGAATCAAAACTTGGTTTGTATACTAAGACGGTTCTCAGTCCAAGTTATGATTCAAAACTGTTCTGACCAGAGACTCTCATTGACAAGCAAGTTCATCTACCAATCTTTGAGAGCAGGGACACTTAATTAATCACAGAACCGCTGTGATCAGGGGAAATTATGACCCATCTATACCCGAGGATTACCTCAGTTCTCAAGGGCTGCAGTGTTCAACCACAGCAAAGAGGTCTCTGTGGCTTAAGGAACTCTTAATTCTCACACCATGTCTTTGGCCCATGTTTTCTAAATTAAATTCATATTATGATTTCTTTTCAAAGACTCCTAGTTTTTACCCTTTCCCTTGCTCTTATTTTCACTCATTGTGCTAGTTCTATGATCTGTTCTTGTTACACATGACATTTCACATCCATGGACCACACAGGATACTGGCATCAACACTTCCCCTGCCCAGCCTTGCAATTTCCACTGGATGACTTCCATGTGTGTGAAGAGCTAGTTTCTTCTCCCGAAACGATGCTCCCTGCCCTCTACAGCATAGAAACAATTGGTAAGGTAATGGAAACTACTGATATACAATAAAAAAGAAATTCTTTTCTGTAAATTTTAAAGTAAATGCCTTGAAGACAAAAACTGGAGGCTATTAGAATTATTGCTTTTGTCACATTATACAATTATTTGATTTTAGTGTTTCTGGGCAAAATTTTAATTACCTTTACTTAAGATAATCTCCTTTATAATTTAAAAGCAAGCTTATAGACATAAAAATCTGTTGATTTCTAATTATTTTGTCTAACATGTATGTGCAGCATAAACCTTGTTATTAATTCCAATAATGCTTACTGTGGTTCTATAGTGTTTAAAAAAATATTTATTTCTTTTGTGTAGGGGGGATTATTTATTTATTTCTAGAGGAAATACTAAGGATTGAACCCAGGATCTCAGGACCAGCTAAGCACACACTCTACCACTTGAACTACACCCTCCCTCCCATTATGTTTCTTGAGTGAACAATCATTTCAGATCGCAACTATGAACATGTATCATTTTCAAACACATTACTGACATCTCAGTTATTCTTCCTTCCTCATGAAATGACCACAGCAGAAAATTAGCAAGTCAGTATAGTGGTGGCTGGTATAGTCGTTTCATTTCTAATCCAGTTGAAAATAATCCGCATTTATTTCACCATCCACTGCTTAACTACACATGTATTTCTGGAAGAAACTTTCTTGAAGTAAATATGGATCCTTCCAATTTTGTTCAATCTCACATTTCATTACTTCAGCTTGCATTTCTGCATTTTCACCTATGCTTGAAGATGCTTTTATCTGATGTACACAGTGCCCACACACAGGTCTCCTTCAAAACAGAGCAGTCTTGTGTGCCACACAGGATTTTTTTGTATCAAAGTATAGTTTACACTGTTTTGTTAGTTGCCAGTGTACAGCATGGTGGTTTAGTTACACATATATACATTACTTTTTAATATTCTTTTTCATTATAGGTTATTACAAGATACCGAATATGGTTCTCTGATCTACACAGCAGGACCTTGCTTATCTATTTTATATATAGTAGTGGGTATCTGTTAATTCTAAACTCCTTATTTATCCCTCATCCTACTTTCTCTTTTGGTAACCATAAGTTTGTTCTCTATGTCTGAGAGTCTGTTTCTGTTTTGTAAATATGTTCATTTGTATCATTTTCTTTTTTTAGATTCCACATAGAAGTGATATATGTGTCTTTGTTGGATCTACTTCACTTAGTATGGTGATCTCTTGGTCCATCCACATTGCTAATGGCATTATATTGTTCTTTCTTATGGCTAAGTAGTATTCCATTGTATATATACACTCTGACTTCATCCATTTATCTGTCATAGAAAAATTAGGATACATCCGTGTCTTGGCTAGCGTGAACAGTACTTCTAAGAAAATTAGGGTCCATGTATCTTTTCCAATTATTTTCTCTGGATATATGCCCAGGAATGGGATTGCTGGATATGCTAACTCTATTTTTACTTTTTAAGGGATCTATATACTGTTTTCCATAGTGGCTGCACCAAATTACACTCCAACCAACAGTGTAGGAAGGTTCCCTTTTCTCCACACGCTCTCCAGTATTTATCATTTGTGGACTTTTTAAGGGTGGCCATTCTGTCTGGTCTGAGGTGACACCTCATTGTTGTTCTGATTTACATTTCTCTGATAATCAGAGACATTAAACGTTTTCATCTGCCTGTTGGCCATCAGTATGTCTTCTCTGGAGTAATATCTATTTCGGTTTCCTACCCATCGTTTTATTGGGTTATTTCTTTGTTATAGAGTTCTATGAGCTGTATCAAAATGTTTGTAATTACATCCTTGTCACCTTGTTTGCAGTTTTTTCTCCCATTCCATAGGATATACATAGATAGAATGTACATATATTTTAAAGCAAATCCAGATGGAGTTGGGTTTATTCTCCAAAATGAAAATGATACGATGTTTACTTAAATTCCTTTCCATTCAATTTCTTTTCTTTGGTCAAATCCTTCCCACTTACATAACATACTTATTAATTTCATAATATTAGTATAATTTTATGAAAAACATACTTATGGGTAAAATTTTAAGGTATTTTGTAGGTATTTCGCATGGATGTATTTTAGTAGAAATACATTCAAAAGTGAATATTTAAGAAAGTCTCTTTAATTCCATATCCCCATTTGACCTCACCCCCCTCTTCCCTCTTCCCTTTGGTAACCACTAGTTTGTTTTCTGTAACTGCAAGCTTTTTTTTCTATTTTGCATATATGTTCATTCTTAGTATATCTGGATTCCAAATATAAGTGTTATCACAGAGTATTTGTTTCTGTGTGACATTATTTCACGAGGTATAATATTCTCGTTTTATGGAAGTTGCTGCAAGTGGCAGAATTTCATCCTTCCTACAGCTGAGTCACATCCGTGTGTATATGCCTCACATCTCCTTTATCCACTCGTATGCTGACGGGCATTTGGTTTGTCCTCATATCATAACCACTGTAAACAGGGCTGCTGTGAACTTCAGGGTGCAAATATCTTGGATTTGTATTTTCCTATTTTCTAGATAAGTATCCAGGGGTGGAATTGCTGGATCATAGTTAGTTCTAATTATAGTTTTCTGAAGAACTTCCAAACTGTTTCCCATAGTGGCTACACAAATTTACATTCCCACCAACAGTGTATAAGGGTTTTCTATTCTCTACATCCTCACCAACATTTGTTATTTGTAGACTCTTTGCTGACTGCTATTCTTACAGTTGGCAGGAGATATCTCTGGGTTACTCGGATTGCATTTCTCTAATAATTAGCATTGTTGACCATCTTTTCATATGCCCGTGAGCCAGCTATATGGCTTCTTTGGAATAATGGTTATTCAGTACTTCTATTTTCTGATCAGATTGTTTGGGTTTTTTATACATTGAGTAGCATGAGCTGTTCATATATTTAGGATATTAACCACTTGTTAGTCATATTACTTCCAAATATTTCCTCATTCCAAAGGTTGTCTTCTCATTTTGTCAATGGTTTCCTTTGCTGTCTAAAAGGTTTTAAATTTAATCAGGTCTCACCATTTGTTTATCTTTGCTTTTATTTATTCTGTGTTAGGAAACAGATCCCCCCAAAATACTGCTACAATTTATGTCAAAGAGTGTTCTACCTATATTGTCTTCTAGGCATTTTCTGGTTTCAGGTCTTACATATTTCTTTAACTCATTTTGAGTTTATTTTTGTATATGTTATGAGGTAATGGTTTAATCTTACTGTTTTATATGCCCTGAACCAGGCAACCTGGCACTGAATCCTAAATCCCTGTCCAAGCTGGGAACTTACAAGATGACACACCCTCCTTGGGCCTCAGTTTCCTCCCTAAAAATGGTCTTTTGGCTGCAGGCCTAATGCAGATGCATCCTCCCAACCTCTTATCACCTCAGCCTCCTACACGCCCAGTGTGGTTCTCATCTACTGCATTCATAAGGCCTTTTTTCCATTGTGAACCTTGTTATATCAAAGCAAATGGCTCCTTTAGATAAAAGACATTACATTCCTTGCACTCATAAGGCCTTTTTCCACTCTGAACTCTGATGATAAAGGCGGCCAGACCTATCAGTAGAAGATTTCCCACATTCTCTGGACTCAGAAGGCTTTCCTGCAGTGTGAACTCTCTGATGATAACACAGGCTAGACCTAGCAGTAAAAGATTTCCCACACTGACTGCACTCATAAGGCTTTTCTCCACTGTGAACTCTCTGATGGTAACGAAGGCCCGACCAAACCATAAAAGATTTCCCACAATCACTACACTTAAAAGGCCTTTCTCCAGTGTGAACTCTCTGATGAACACGGAGACCAGAACTCCTAATATAAGATTTGCCACATTCACTGCACTTGTAAGACCTTTCTCCAGTGTGAACTCTCTGATGATAACGAAAGTTAGACTTATCATTAAAAGATTTCCCACATTCACTGCACTTAAAAGGCTTTTCTCCAGTGTGCATTCTCCTATGGAAACTGAGGTGGTTGCTTTGGCTAAAGGATTTCCCACATTCATTGCACTTAAAAGGCCTTTCTCCAGTGTGAACTCTCTGATGAACATGGAGGCTAGAACGCCAAATATAAGCTTTCTCACATTTATTGCACTTATAAGACCTTTCTCCAGTGTGAACTCTCTGATGATGACGAAAACCAGACCTATCATAAAAAGATTTCCCACATTCATTGCACCCAAAAGCCTTTTTTCCAGTGTGCATTTTCCTATGGAAACTGAGGTGGCTGCTTTGCCTAAAGGATTTCCCACATTCATTGCATTTAAAAGGCCTTCCTCCAGTGTGAACTCTCTGATGTCGAACTACTTGGCACCTTCGTAAAAAAGATTTATCACAATACTTGCACTCATAAGGCTTTACTCCCACGTGAATTTTCCTATGGTCATTGAGGTATTCCCTTCGACAGAAGGATTTCCCACATTCACTGCACTCAAAAGGCTTTTCTCCAGTGTGGATTTGCCCATGGGCACTAAGGTGGTGGCCTTGGATAAAGGATATTCCACAGTCTCTGCATTCATAAGGCCTTTGTCCAGCGTGAACTTTCTGGTGCTGAGTAAGTTTACATCTTTCAGTGCAGGCTTTCCCACATTTGTTGCACAAACAAAGCCCTTCACAACTGAAGACTCTTTCATCCTGAACAAGTATGTCTCTGTGGCTGGAGGCCTTCTTGCATTCTCTGACGCTGAGATGACTTTTTCTACTGTGAAAAACAGCTCCACATTTGTCACTGTTTAGTTTCTTACTGGGATTAGCAGCCTGTTGCTGAAGTCCCATGTTAGCCAGAAAATCCTTCCCAATCTTCCTGTAGGTAAAGAGGTTCCCTGATGCATTGACTGTGCAGCTCTTCAAAAATGAGGGTCCCCCCACATCACATCTGAAGTGTTTCTCTCTAATGTGCTGCCTCTGGGGCTGTTGAAGGTCTACAGTGAAACAGAACTGTTTCCCGTATGTCCCACGTGTGTATGATTTCTGCCCTCTATGTGTTCCCTGGTGTTCAGCCAAGTGCAGGATGTCCCTCAAGACTTGGACACACATCTTACACGGCTGGCCCTTCTCAGGAGACACACCTGCCCCAGAAGTCCTGATCTGTGACACTCCTACAGGTGAGCTCTGTTCACAAGGTGGCTGTTCATCCTCAACTCCATGACAAGAACCTGAAAACGAACAAGTGATGTTGAAGAACATGCTGACTTTAATGAGGCTGGGGAATGGGGCAGGCGGGAACGACACCAACACAAGGGTACCTTTGACACATGAAATGATCGGTCCAAGGGATTGTGTTTGGAAAATCAAGTTGGGATCAAACTGAGGATGCAGCTGCTATGCATTACTGGTCCTTAACATCACAGAATTGAGGCGGCCTCACCAAGCCCAAGGCACAAGGACTGGATGTGGCCCAAGTGTGAAAGGCATCTTCTACAATTCACTCTTCTGTCAACGCTGGTGACCTATGATACTATTTAAAAGTATATGTACAGGCCCCAGAAAATCTCACTGGAACAGGCAACTAGTGTTCAAGGAATATTAAAGGTTACCCGTGTGTTTTAGGACATAAATAATGCCAGAAACTAGTATGGGGAAAACAGTGATCATTTACCACATGAGGTAAGTGATCTAGAGAGGTGGTAGGGAGTTCGTATCAGGCTGAAGTCAGGATAAAAGGGCGAAACAGTACAAATGACAAGCTGTAAGGGTGTCAACAATGGAGAAAGGATGACAGAAGTGATCTGTGGCCAGTGGCAATGGTACTAAAACAGCAGTCAGACAAAACAGGTTCCTAGTATGACTTCAGCAGAGACCTGACATCAAGCCCTCTCCCAGCTGCCACTCATCCTGGCCAGGTTATCCCTGGGCTCTTTTTGGTTGAAACAACGGTCATGTCCATCCCAGGAGCACCAAGGACTCTCCACCTCCAGCTGAACGACTACATGGGACACAAAGGATACAAGTCCTAATGGAAAGTCAGGACAGGTGAGTGGCCAACACTGGCCCAGAGGAACTCAGTTCACAACAGAGAAAGAATGGATACTTACATACTAAAAAAAGAATCTCCAAGGAGCTAGAGGAAAGGAGGAAGAGCAGGAGTACAGTGTTAGGAATCAATCTCTCCACCTAAAAAACAACTGTACTGTCAGAATTTAACTGATGTAAATATTTTGCAACTCCGGAGTCTACTATAGATTTGCATTGTCTGAAATTACATTAACTTTGTTAAGTTCAGTTCTTAGCATGTAGTAGCCAACAACAACCCCAACCCAAGTTCTAGGGCAGGCAGCTGGGCACATGTCCCTGGAGCAGTGTGCATGCAGCCTGCAGGAGCTGGAGTGGGAACAAAGCACCTGGTCCACCAAGTATCAGAGATGTGCACTCTGCTGCTTCTGAAAGCAGACGGTTGACACAGAGGTGTACTGGCATTGCTGTAAATAGTACCAGCACCATACAAAGCACCAGCCATCCCTGGATGAAGCACACCCAGGAAATTTAAAGGGCCAATGTCTATTCTCCCTCTCTTCATCGTTCTGGTTTTCCCTTTTGGGGAGTGAGATATTTAGGGACCAGGACAATAAAAAGTAAACATTTGTATGGGAGAACTTTAAAACTCATAGCACACCTTCAAGCAAAGGAACAGTGAAAAGACCTTACATTTCCACCTCGTGTTAACATTCAGAAAAGACACCCTAAAACCATCAAAAACAAAGAGAAAACACCACACAGCAAATCTTGGTTAAAAAGGAAACAGGAGACTCCTCAGAAGACTAGGAATAGACTTACCATACGACCCAGGAATCCCACTCTTGGGCATATATCCAGAAGGAACCCTACTTCAAAATGACACCTGCACCCCAATGTTCATAGCAGCACTATTTACAATAGCCAAGACATGGAAACAACCTAAATGTCCATCAACAGATGACTAGATAAAGATGTCGTATATTTATACAATGGAATAGTATTCAGCCATAAAAAGTGACAACACAACACCATTTGCAGCAACATGGATGTTACTGGAGAATGTCATTCTAAGTGAAGTCAGAAAGAGAAAGAAAAACACCATATGAGATCGCTCATATGTGGAATCTAAAAAAAACAAAACAAAAACAAAAACAAAAAACAAAACAAAACAAAAACAATAAATACAAAACAGAAACAGACTCATAGATATAG